GTTTACAATGAGTTTGTTAGATTAGAAGAATAGTTTAGCTGTAGTATATATCATGTTTTTCAAATGAAAATGTACTTATGTTTTCAATTGATTAAAAAACTCACGATCTAGCCTGACTATGGATATAAAAAAAAAAAAAAAAACTATATTATTTAAAAATAAATTAGACTAATTTAAATTAAATAAAACAAATCCCAACTAAATATTTAAGACATATTTAGAAAATAATATTTTATTACTTAATAAATTAATATTTATATTTATTTATCAGAATTATTATTAATGGTTTATTATTATAGATTATCTTGAAAAATAATGAATTATTGAATTATTATATTGAGAAAAAAATATAAAGTAATTCAAAACTTTTTAAAAGATTTTTGTCAAATAAATAATCTTTATTCAAAAAATTTATTTTATTAAAATATTTTTTAACTTTTTAAAGAATTTATTTATTAATTATTAAAATTATATATAATTTGAAAAACTTATTTTTTTGAGTTCTTAAATAAATAACTTTATATTATATTTTTTACTTATAAGATTGAACTTATAATTTAATTATAATGATAATACTAGTGATATTTTAACCCTGTTTGATTGAGATAAAATCTTGAAATTTTCAATATTTTTAAATAATTTTTTTATTATCTGAGAAACTTGCAATATTATGTACTTTTTGATTTATTTTTTGATATTATAATTGTTTTTCTTGAAAATATGCTCTATTTAAGAAAAATATTCTCCTAAATTTATTTTTTATATTATTAATTAAGTTATTAAAGCATGTAATTATAATCTATAGAGCTTGTTTATATTTCAAAAATTAATATTTTATATTAACAACCACTTTTGATAAGGATTATACTACTCGAAAAATCATAGTCAAAGTGAAATAAATAAAATTCTTCAGAGAATTATGAAAGTAAAAATTCTAAAAGGATACAAACAGCTGATAAAAATAGAAATAAATCTTTCATTGTAAAAAATCTCTATAAACAATATATTGTATCTCAAAGATAAAAAGTCTTCAAATATTTTACAACTAATTCTTTTTTCTTTAGTAACTTTCTTGCTGTTGATAGTAAAGGTGGTTGCCTAATTTTTTTTTTGATCAAAGAGGTTTGTAAACAAGAAGAGAAAAGTAGAAATGATCCTTTAAGATACTCTTCAAGTTGTTTTAAAATATATAATTTAAATAATTAAAAAGAATTTATAATAAATAAAATAATAGTAATAATTGGTAAAAATAAATATACATTGTATACACATACTGTATACGTATATGTAAACCAAAATATTATACTCAATTATTTTTTAGGTGATATCAAAAAAATTGATATCTCATGAATAGATAAATTAATATACGAATATAACACGATGTTTTCCTTGAATAGCATTTATTGTTTCATTTTAAATATGAAATAATATTTGTGTATTATAAAAGCCAGTTCTTTAGAAAATTTAAATAAATTCTATTAACGTTGCAAGCATAAAGAAGTTTGTATACTTATGAGACCAACGTAGGATTCAATAGTTAGACTTATCAAAAAAGTTGTGAAAAAATCTACATGCCTCTGGAACAAAGAATTATTGTTCGATTGCCTATTTTATTGCTTTGCAAAGAAATAGATTTGTAAACGAAATTATTTTTTTAAGTTTCGCGTCAGTATAAAAAGTGTAAAACTTACTGGGGCGTATAATTACGGCGTATTATATAACAAACCTAACCACAATACTATTCTTAATTCTTTTTTTTTTTTTTTAAAAAAAAAAAGCTTCTTATTCACTATTATTAATATAAGGATGTTTGATTTACGAATGTAAGGAATTCGCGAGGCGTTTGAAACATGTTCGCAATTATCGAATTTCTTTTCTTTCCTTTTTTTTGACAATTTCGCAACTTAATTTAATACCTAAAAAAATAAATATACAGACGAGTTTATATCAATTTTTTATTACGTTTTTCATCTGATATATCATCAGAGTCTATGAAACATAGAATTTAATCAAATTCCGTGTTACGGTAGCGGCTCTTTCCTTTCTATTCATTCTTGACAAAATGCGAAGTATGTTTATTTGCTGTAACCATCTTTGCGTCCGTTTTTTATCGAGTATAACTCGGGTCGTAATTTATCATTGATATCGATAAGAAATCCTTCAAAAGAATCATAGAGTTAACATGGTAAACTCTCATCCAATCCAATTCACTCATTAATGAAATAATTTAATGTCGAATACTGTCTTTTGATTGATATAACGTATTACAGGAAACAGAAAAGAATAATTCGGCAGGTAATATTTGTCTCAACATTCGTCTGATTGATATATCATTTTTTAATTCTTAAAATGATTAACAAGGTATTTATTTGCCTTGGTTTTTTGCATCTATCCTTTCTTAGTTTAATCGCGAGATAAAATTTCTGATACAAGCTGCCAATCTTTCGTGAATACTCGCGAATTTTGCAACAGATAATGCTACACCTTCTCTTTTTTAACGCTTCTGTGGCATAACGTTCATTTTCAGTAAGATCACTTTTGCGCCAAAGTTCGAAAAAATTTGATGAGTGAGTTAAATAAAACGGGTGTATTTATTAATGTGCAGTATGACTTTGATATGTATTAAAACATAAAGCGGTAAATTGTGACACAAAGTACTTCATAAATCAAATGTAGGTGTGCGCTAATAGAACTTCGAGAATCTTTAATAAATTGAGACGACGAATAAATAGGTACTGTAATATAATACTTTAAAACAAAAAATATATATCGTGTGGCACATTAAGAACACTGATAGCAAATTCTCACTTTAATATCGAACGAAAAATAAGAGTACGTGACTGAGGAGCGGAAACTACACAAAGTGTTATGGTTTGTCGTGTGTACGCGATCATTAAGTGGTTCATAGCATAACTGCCATTAATATAAATAAAAATAGAAAAGCTCGAGATCAGTCACGAGAAGAATGCATCTAAAAAAAGAACAAAGTTGTATTAGGGGGTTGAACATTCTCCTGATATTTTCATTGTGTGGGGTAAAAGAAAATTTTTTAATTGCATCAAACGCGTGTGCAACCAATAGAATCAGCCGATTAAATGTAACGAGTCGATAATCTAGTTTTGAAACAAAACAACCAAAACTCGATTATGACGCGCCAACTCTCAGGGTCAGGTAGGTACATTCTTTTCCTGAATAAAAATTGTATCAAAAGAAGGTAGTTATACATCAGGAAAGCGTCTGTGGAAAAGTTTTATCCTGTCGCAAGCCAGTAATGGAAGGAAATGGTAGGCTTGTTAAATGAAAGTTGAGATGTATTACAGTAATTCCTAAACAGTATATTTGTATTATCAGAGCAACATAAGAATATTATAAATATATCAAATACTGTATCTACTGTATATGATATTAAACCTTATACATAGGTTCACAATAAAAAATTCATTAAATATTGATAATTTCTGTTGAAATAGAATATTAATCTAAATTATAAGCCCTACATAGGTATGATAAATAACTTTGTTCTACAATTTATATTAGGTAAAATATGTATTTTGGGCCATCCTTAGAACGACATGGGAATTCGTCTATGGTCAGTCGACCAATGCTTTGCTTTACTCCACATTAATTAAACCAAAATCTTCCTTCATGCCTTTTTTTTGTTGTTGTTCAAAATAAAAATTCGAATTATCAATCTATCGCCAATTCCATTGTACAATGCTGAAAACATGTGGTAAATCGTTAATTCCATTATACAATGAAATTCGATGATCTTTAACCTACCAAATAGTAATGTAGAATTGTCGATTGCACAAGGATATTACATTCACGAAGTACAACTATATATTAACCATCATGTGTGGTGCGCCAATTCTCATGCGCCTCATGCGCGGGAAATGCGCGTCATTGTACAATGAGATAAATAAACCTGGTTACTATATCTAGAATTGTACCATTTGACACAACTAAATATATTTAGAAAATTTCCACCTATATACTGTATATACAGTATGTTCAGTATGTCTAAATAGAAATCCGTAAAAGTGACACAATACGGAACTGATTTATAGGGTACCAGGAAATTGGCATAGGTTATTGGATTTTTGTATCACAATTTCACAAAATCATTTTTGGATGTTTACTGTTGCATACTGTTGACCACAATAAAGAGTTTTAAGTTCAATTATTCCTATATCGAACGCGTTTCAAGAAAGAAAAAAATTATTGGCATCCAACTTTATGCGCTGATCAACTTTATAGAATCGGTTTTATTTTTCCCCAACTAGACGCCCGCAGATGGTCCAAAAACTGTATATATACTTTACGTGAGATGAGAAAGGTTAGGACGGCAGAACTGACCGTGCCTCCTAAATAATACCTATTTAGTGCTAAATCTGATAATTACTGTAGGATTTAATTAGAATTCGGAAGTTAAGAATGAGCTCATCACCGAATCAAACAAATACGCCATCTGGTGTGGACCCGTTTCGTGAGGCATTGAATCAAAGTTTAATCGCACAAGCACCAGATCTGGGACCTTCCGTGGTATTCCTTATTCTTTTTGCCCTGTCGTCCGTTATCTATGCATTCCGAAGCTTTAAAACCCGTCGCCTGGCATACTATTATCTCTTCGGGTTCGCAATTCTTCGTACAGCCGCATACATTACTCGCGCAGTCTGGTCTCAAGATGTAACTTCATCTACTGATGCTATAGCCGGTGGTGTCATCGCATCAGGTGGATTTTTCTTGGCAGCTCAATCATTATACGTTCTTTTCACTGTATGGGTCGCATCTCTGCATGGCGGCTCCGAAAATCTCCCATCACGTGACAAGAGATATATACAGCTTATAAAACTTCTACTTCCCCTCTCATCATTAATTGGTATAATTGGGTCCGTAAAACAGTACAGCGCATCATCGTTAAATGACTATAACCTCGGCACGACACTGAGAAAGGTATCCGTTTTAGGATTCGCGGGCCTCTTGGCATTACTCATAGGATTAACTGCATTGTATTCGATTCAGCTAAATGGATTTCATAAACTGCCGGCTTCGTCGATTCTGTGCACGGGAAGTTTACTGTTAATGATTGAGATGATATATCGAATAGACGCGATTTGGAGTAATTCAAAGGCGGATGTTAACACGCAGAAATGGGTGTTTTATGTATTTCTATCCATTCCTGAGTTTATATTTTCGGTCTTCATGGGAGTGGTAAATATAGAAAAGATTTTCTATGAGGCAGGCGGCGATAGTGGTACTGATAGAGAGAAAGGGGATCATTAGATTCCTTGTTATAATGTACTGTACATGTTTCTGGTTTTTTTTTTACTAAATGTCCATAACTCGACATTATTGTATGTGCATCTGTTGAAAAAAGTTCTTAGACATTGTTGATTACATTTATTCTTAGCAATCAACATTTAAAATTAGGATTAAACTTAACTTTAGCATGATATCTTTTCATGACATAAAATTCGTTGAGAATTTAATTACTTTCTGCAAAGAGTAGAAACTCCAATTTTGGTAAAAAAAAATTTTTTTTTAACACCGAGTATTACAATCGAATAAAATTTTAGATGTCATAAACGAACTTTCTTTGACTGAAATTACCAGTTGTTGAAAAATCGAAATGTAGTTGTACCTTGCTCTATACAAAAGTTTAATGAAAAGACAAATAAATTAATTTTAAAATTTATTAAGAATTTCAAAAAAATAATAATAATAACTGATAATAATTTAATATACTGTGAATATTATATTATAAATTTATATAAATTACAATATACAATAACCTTTCCACTGATCCCTTGCCCACACCCAAAAAAGAAATTGACAAGAAGTTTTGATACTTCTATGTTAATAAAGCCTTACCATTCTTTTTAAATCAACTTAAGAAGAACCTTCTCAAGAATCATTTCACAACTCCTACCTTTGTTTATATCTTTTTACAACAAATCTTGTCTTCTTATGACTATAAAGGAAGATAAATACCCTTTCTACCAATGGCAAGAAAGTTTTGAAAAAGAGTAGAACTGGCTTGTTATTACTTCTTCTATCTATCAAGGAATCAGTACAGATCAATGTTTTTAATAAGAAATTACTTGTTTAACTATTCATATTACCATCTTGTTATTGTTATAATTCTAATAGTACTTTTTTATGATTTATTCTGAGGAATTTTGCTTATCTCAATTGATTCTAAATTTTGAGTAGCACAAATTTTTCTATGCAGTAATTAGATAATAAAAATAAGTCAGTAAAAAAAATATAAATAAGTTTTTATTAATCATTTCATATATCTAAATATATTTTTTCAATATCTATAAGAATTTAGAATTTTATATAAGTTACTATACTCTAAATATAAATAAATACAAAATATGAAATCTATTATATTATTATTCATATAAAAAAATAAGGCCGGATTTAAAACATATTAAATAAATAATAACTTACTTTTCTCCTGTTTCATTTGACAAAAAACAATTTTTACATAAAAATAATATTTTTTAAAGAATTTTAATACTTTTATTTTCTTACTGAAATAATATCTTTTACTTGATTTCACATCAATATCACTTGAAGCAGGATTCAAATATAATTTTATAATTAAAAAATATTTTTTTTTTCGGATGAAAGGTACTAATAGCACATGTTTATTAAGTAATTAAACCCATTACATAATTATAACAGTCCATTTAAGTTAACCCACCCCCTATCACCTATAGCCTTACCCGGTTATACCAACTTTACACCCAGTAGGTGGGTCCGCATTCCAGGTTGGATCATTAGGAGGTGGAAATCCTATCACTAGTTTTAAACTGTCTAACCTAATCTAGATCCTGGCATTCTACCCCTTACTAGGACCTACGATAACCTTTTATACCTTACCATTTCTTAATCACGTCTTTGGTCCCTGCAACTGTGAATGGATCTAAATACATCTGTGTACTACCTAATCAATGCTTCGAGAACTTCGTCCAATGGTTGGCGCATGCTGTCAAACCTAGGGATTATTCACCAATAGGAACGTGACTCCTGAATATCCTAGTGACTTATCCATCGGGTTCTCTATTAGTGTTAACTATCAAATCTAGGGGTTATTCACCAAGCAAGGCGCAACTTCTACATAGGGATAGCACCAGTGATTCACTTACATCGCCCATTAAAGTTCCATCGATGATTCCTGAGGGGTTTAGTGCTTCGTGTTACCAATCTTGGCAACCATCAT